CTCCCCCCAATAAATTTTTATTGATTTCTACATTGCCTGCATTACAGTCTCTTGACAGCCCTCACTCTCACCTCCCCTCACAATAAAAAATTTGTAAAGGGAGTTTCAATATAGCGAGTGCGACACTAAACTCCCTCCTTCGTCCCCCTCTCACTCTTTCTCCCCCTCCCCCCCCTCCTCACCTCTAATTCTTCCCCCCCCCCCTTCCCTCCAATAAATTTTTATCGATTTCTACATTGCCTGCGTTACAGCCTCTTGTCAGCCCTCACTCTTCCCTCCCCTCTCATTAAAATTTTTTAAAGGCATTTTCAATATAGCGAGTGCGACACTAAACTCCCTCCTTCGTCCCCCTCTCACTCTTTCTCTCCCCCCTCACCTCTCATTCTCCCCCCCCCTTCCCCCAATAAATTTTTATTGATTTCTACATTGCCTGCATTACAGTCTCTTGACAGCTCTCACTCTTCCCTCCCCTCCCATTAAAATTTTTTAAAGGCATTTTCAATATAGCGAGTGCGACACTAAACTCCCTCCTTCGTCCCCCTCTCACTCTTTCTCCCCCCCCTCCTCACCTCTCATTCTTCCCCCCCCCCCTTCCCCCCAATAAATTTTTATTGATTTCTACATTGCCTGCATTACAGTCTCTTGACAGCTCTCACTCTTCCCTCCCCTCCCATTAAAATTTTTTAAAGGTGTATATCAGAAGTGAACTGTGATTTTTAAAAGGTGTATATCAGAAGTGTTTTTGTATATCAGAAGTATTTTTTAAAGGTGTATATCAGAAGTGAACTGTGATTTGGGATAGTTAATGCCAGACTTGCACACGGATACGGATATGGATACAAATAATATGAAAATGCCTGCGGATATCCGTCTGTATCCGCCGTAAATATCCGGATACGGATACCAAGATTAGTATCCGTGTGCAAGTCTGGTTAATGCAGATTGATGTTGGGGGTTTGAGGATTGTAAAGAATATCGGTGATTTGCGTATTAAGATGGTAAGAGTGATAAAGGGGATATATATATATAGATATATATATAAAGGGATAAAAGGGATATATAAAGGGGATATCGTGGTTTGTGGGAAATTAAGGGAATATGGTGACTTGAGCAAATGTATGGCGGATTTTGAGGATTAATAGGGATATCAGAGTTTGGAAGAAAAAAGAGTGAGAAATAAAGAACTAATAGAGATTCAGACTATTTTGGGAACTTACGAGTGAGGGTGTCAAAGAGAATATCGGTACTTAGAATTGTTATCGGGGGATTTATATTAAAAACATAAGTTCTGTGAAGATATGGAGGATTTGAGATATAAAGTGGGATACATGAGGATTTTTTAGTTACAAACATGATAAATGCGGATTTAATGAAGGGATTTTGGGGGGTTTCGAACATTAAGATGGATATTGGGGAGCTATACGGGATTTTGAGTATTTGGGGTATATTAATATGTATTTAGGAAATACAAGAACAGCTATATGTGATTGTAAGTGTCTTTGATGTGTGTTTGGAGAATATCAATAGTTTTGTGTGCTTAATATTGATATTGAGGGATGCGGATTAAGATATGATTTTGGGGATATTGGGAAAAGATTAGTATCAAAGGATCATAAAGATATCGGGGATTAAGGTAATTAAGAAGGCTTTCGAGGATAAGAGTGATACGCAACACAAAAATAAGAAAAATGAGTGAAAACCTATGAAACATAATCATTGGAGACTAAGGGATTAGGAGGCAAAAAAGGGGAGTTATTGGAAGGATTACGAAAAATAATGAGAAAGATTTGGTAATTAAGAGGGATATCGGGTATTTGATGAATAAAGAGATATAACGTGAGTTTGGACAAATTACATCTGAGAGTTAGATTAGTTTTACTGGAAGGATATTGAGGAAAATATTCAAAAATAATATTCAAAATAAAAATATATTAAAGGATATCTTTAACTTTATATGATTATAAGATTAAAGGGTATTTATGGTTACGTGTATATCAAAGAATTTAGGAAGATATCGTTGAATTAGGGATAAAAATAGGTAGTTGGGGATATGTTGAGTAATATAGGTGTATTTGGGACAATTAGGTGGGATATCGCGGATTTACGGGTTTAAAGGTGATATAGAAGGATTTGGCAGACTAAAAGTGATAAAGAGTAGATTATGGGAGATAAAGGGTGATACTGGGATTTTTAAAAATAAAAAGAGATATTTGCGACGCGAAAAATAATGAGTGATATAGGGGAATTTGATATGAATAAGATGGATCAAGTGTTAATGGTGATATGCATGAGTTTGGAAATAGAGTTTTGGGTTTTTTGGGAGGAGAATAGGCGATATTTGTATTTTGGAGAATAAAATGCGTTTTCAGATAATAGGGGATTTAGAAGAATAACATAGGATTAAGAGTGATAACGTACTTTTTGTCTCAGGGATATTAGGGGTTTCAGGATAAAGGGTGATATCAAATGTTTTGATGGGAAAAAGGGTATTTTCTACGAAAACAAAGTTTGAAAAGTGAAATTTGTGTAAATAGCGGTATCGGAGAGGTAATTAACAAACATTTTGTGATTTGAGGTGATTAGTGAATCGGAGGATTTGGGAGAGATTAAGGGTATAGCAGATAAAGCGTGATAGTAAAAATGATTTAGCGCGTTTGGGAGGTGGGGGAGTTGATTAAAAACCTATATCAGATTGGAGGGTTGGCAAAGGGTGATGTATGAGATTTGGTGATGTTTAGGAGATACCAGATGATTTGGAGAAAAAGGATTTTGGTGAAAAAGGGTGATATTTAGGATTTGGGTGTGATTAAGAGGGATGACAGAGGATTTGGGGACTTTTGGTTAATATCTAGGTTTTGTGATATAAAGGGTGATAACTGCGGAGTACGAAAAGGGATTTCGTATGGTGATATATCAGGGGATTTGGGGTGATTAAGAGGGATTCAGACGACTTCGGGGCCAAAGGGTAATATATGAAATTTTGGGGTGCAAAGTAGAAATATCGATGTTTTGGGGCCTAAAGAGTAATATCTGAGTTTTTGGGGATAAATGGTGATATCTGTGTTTTTGGGGATGGTTATGAGAGATATCAGAACATTAGTGAGGGGATTAACAGGACGATGGTTAAGAGGGATATTGCAGATTTTTGAAGATAAAGGGTGTTAGCTGTGATGTGTGATTAAGAGATATTTCATAAGATTAGAGTCTAATGGGTGATTCAGGGATTTTGGGGTGTTTATGTGGCATATTAGAGAATTGAGTGTGATTAATTGGTGGTGAGTAAGAGAGTGGTGCTAAAAAATGGTAGTCTATCTATGATTTGAGTGTGATTAAGAGCGATTTCACATGAGTTGGGGGCTAAAGGGTGATTCTGCGATTTTGGTGGTGATTAAGAGAATATCAAATGATTTGGGAATAAAGAGTAATATTAGGGATTTGGGCTTGAGCAAGATACTCTTCCCACAATTGATGAGAAGAGTCCTTAACAAATGAGAAGTTGGGGATTTGAGTCCGTCAAAGTGTGAGGTTGATCTAAGAAGAATTACAAGGTGTTGTACGAGCGTTAGGACGCGCGAAGCGCGTCCTAGCGCTCGTGACTTATAAAGTCAAGTAGAACTACTTGTTTCTGTTTAAGGTTAGCGGATCTATATATCCGGACAAAAAATTAGAATATCAATTTTCGGTCGGATACCGATCCCGGATTTTCCCTCTTTTTCTGTGTAGACTTATTGCAAATATCTTATTTAATTTACTTTAGAATGTTTTTCATCTGATTCAAATATAAGAACGTATTTATCATTTGCACACAATTTTGTTTTAACAATTTGTGAGTTATAAGAATTTTTACGACAAGTTTGTCGATCTCCAGCTATAACATCAATAATAGCAATTTTATCATCACCGATTTCATTCTCACATTTTATAAATGCATTTCTTTGTCTATAACCTTCAGTTGTAAAAGTAAATTGCAGAAAACGAACAGGTTGCTTAATTAAAGCAATCATTGTATTGAAATTTGGTTCATATTTTTGTAGGACTTGTTTGTAGCTTATTTTGTTCATGCTATGGTATTTAATGAAGATTAAAGAATAGTCTTCAACATTAGCAATAGAGGAAATTTCATAATTCTTTAAAAAAAGCAAAAAATTATTTACGGAAAAAAGATACCAAAAACTAAGTGACGAATTGATTGTCATCGAATCATTTTATTGGAAAATATCTAAACTATTTTGTTATGTCCCCGCTTACGTCGACGAACACAACAGAAAGTTTATCACACGTAGAAAATACAGGAAGATGAAGATTGGGGTAGGAAGACGGAATAAGACTGAGAGAGCTAACTAACTGTGGCTGGCTTTTATACTAAACTCTTTAAGGGCTGTCGTCCATACACAACATATTTTATCATTTGATTAATGTAACCCAAACTAGACTGGACTTTAGATTTGTTGTGTTTTTTGTTCCAGTCTAGACTAGTGCCCGATCTCCTTCATCTGTTCCTATCTCAATCCACCTTCTCCTAAATTGTACATACATTTCTACTTTGGATAAACTTTGATTTTGTGCTCTACGACATTGGTAAATCTCGGACAACACTCGGACATAACGAGATTTAAGATTCTTAAAAATCTGGATTTTCGATTGAGATTTAATCATACATTTATTTATGTAATTAATTAATCTAACAAACATTTTCGTTGTAAATTTTCAGGTTGTATTTCTCCAAATCTTCACTATAATTTCCTTCCTTTTCTTCAAAATGAAAGGTACCATATTTATCTTTTACTCCTATTTTGGGCTCTTCCCATTTATCGCTAGTCAATTTCAAGCTGAATTTATGGGTATTTTTTTCGATCAAATTTAGTGATTCGTAAAGACTTTCTCGCGATGAAATCTTCACAAACACTGACAATGTTGTTACGTTGGAAACGATGTTTAGGAATGCAAATGTTAATAATATAAGCATTCTATAAAATAAAATGTTTAAAATATACACTCCTTTAAGGTTGACGGTTCCTGGGAAATCCCCGGGTATCCAGAACCTGAACAAACGAGTGTATTAAATTAACCTCGGAATAAAAGGGGTGAAAAAACTTTTTAAGAGGGTTGAATAAAGAAAAAATAGAAAGAATAAGGCAAAATTCACTAAATATTTCATAAATGTCGACTCTCAAAAAAGCCATGAAATTATTATATAAAGAAACGAAAATGAAGAGAGAAATGAAGAGAGGAAAATAAAGAAAAATTTAAAAAATCGAATTTTACGTAAAGCAAACGTGTCTTTCTGTGGGTAGGGGACGATTCAGTATCGGCCGATTCAGTCTTCGCTACACGATGAGTGCCGGAATTTTCGTCTCCAACATTTTCGGAATTTTCGTCTCCAGCGGAATATTCGTCACCAAGGAAATAATCGGAATTTTCGTCTCCGCAATTTTCGTCTCCGCTAGGAATTTTCGTCTCTAGAGGAAGTTTTACCAGTTGTCAGGACAACTTCCCCCGTTGACGAAGCAACTTCCCCCGTTGACGGAACACTATCCCCCGTGTCGGAACAACTTCCCCCGTTGACGGAGCAACTTCCTCCGTTGACGAAACAACTTCCCCCGTTGTCAGTACAACTTCCCCCGTTGACGAAGCAACTTCCCCCGTTGACGGAACACTATCCCCCGTGTCGGAACAACTTCCCCCGTTGTCAGGACAACTTCCCCCGTTGACGGAACAACTTCCCCCGTTGACGGATCACTATCCCCCGTGTCGGAAAAACTTCTCCCGTTGACGGATCACTATCCCCCGTGTCGGAACAACTTCCCCCGTTGATAGAACAACTGCCCCCGTTGACAGGACAACTTCTCCCGTGGATGGAACAACTTCCCCTGTTGACGGATCACTATCCCCCGTGTCGGAACAAAAATATGGAACGATTATTGGGAGTGCCGGAATTTTCGTCTCTTACCAGTTAACGAAACTTCCCCGTCAACGGGGGAAGTTGCTCCGTCAACGGGGGAAGTTGTCCTGTCTACGGGGGAAGTTGCTCCGTCAACTGGTAAGTTTTCCTCTGGAGACGAAAATTCCTAGCGGAGACGAAAATTCTGATTATTTCCTTGGTGACGAATATTCCGCTGGAGACGAAAATTCCGAAAATGTTGGAGACGAAAGTTCCGAAAAGTCTTGGAGATGAAATTTCCAGAGACGAAAATTCCGTACACCCTACACGATGGCCATGCTTCGCTGCGGTCGTGCTCGCTTCGCTCGCGGCGACCGTAGCTCGACATGCCCGGTTTCCTCCGCAGCGGCAAAAACTTTTTTCCGCGGAGACCTTATGTGAGGGGTTAAAACAAACGGTAATAACTTTGTCAAACCAAGTCGGATTTCGTTGAGTTTAGTGTTTTTTGACTCAGCTCGACGAGTCAAACCTCTCCCCACCACCCCCAATAAATTTTTATCGATTTCTACATTGCGTGCGATACACTCTCTACAGCCCTCACTCTCACCTCCCCTCACAATAAAAAATTTGTAAAGGGAGTTTCAATATAGCGAGTGCGACACTAAACTCCCTCCTTCGTCCCCCTCTCACTCTTTCTCTCCCCCCTCACCTCTCATTCTCCCCCCCCCCTTCCCCCAATAAATTTTTATTGATTTCTACATTGCCTGCATTACAGTCTCTTGACAGCTCTCACTCTTCCCTCCCCTCCCATTAAAATTTTTTAAAGGCATTTTCAATATAGCGAGTGCGACACTAAACTCCCTCCTTCGTCCCCCTCTCACTCTTTCTCCCCCCCCCCCCCTCCTCACCTCTCATTCTACCCCCCCCCTCCCCCCAATAAATTTTTATTGATTTCTACATTTCCTGCATTACAGTCTCTTGACAGCCCTCACTCTCACCTCCCCTCACAATAAAAAATTTGTAAAGGGAGTTTCAATATAGCGAGTGCGACACTAAACTCCCTCCTTCGTCCCCCTCTCACTCTTTCTCCCCCTCCCCCCCCCCTCCTCACCTCTCATTCTTCCCCCCCCCCCCCCTTCCCTCCAATAAATTTTTATCGATTTCTACATTGCCTGCGTTACAGCCTCTTGTCAGCCCTCACTCTACCCTCCCCTCCCATTAAAATTTTTTAAAGGCATTTTCAATATAGCAAGTGCTACACTAAACTCCCTCCTTCGTCCCCCTCTCACTCTTTCTCTCCCCCCTCACCTCTCATTCTCCCCCCCCCCCCCCCTCCCCCCAATAAATTTTTATTGATTTCTACATTGCCTGCATTACAGTCTCTTGACAGCTCTCACTCTTCCCTCCCCTCCCATTAAAATTTTTTAAAGGCATTTTCAATATAGCAAGTGCGACACTAAACTCCCTCCTTCGTCCCCCTCTCACTCTTTCTCCCCCCCTCCTCACCTCTCATTCTTCCCCCCCCCCCTTCCCCCCAATAAATTTTTTTTGATTTCTACATTGCCTGCATTACAGTCTCTTGACAGCTCTCACTCTTCCCTCCCCTCCCATTAAAATTTTTTAAAGGCATTTTCAATATAGCAAGTGCGACACTAAACTCACTCCTTCGTTCCCCTCTCACTCTTTCTCCCCCCCCCTCCTCACCTCTCATTCTTCCCCCCCCCCTCCCCCCAATAAATTTTTATTGATTTCTACATTGCCTGCATTACAGTCTCTTGACAGCCCTCACTCTTCCCTCCCCTCCCATTAAAATTTTTTAAATGCATTTTCAATATAGCGAGTGCGACACTAAACTCCCTCCTTCGTCCCCCTCTCACTCTTTCTCCCCCCCCCCCCCTCCTCACCTCTCATTCTTCCCCCCCCCCCCCTCCCCCCAATAAATTTTTATTGATTTCTACATTGCCTGCATTACAGTCTCTTGACAGCCCTCACTCTCACCTCCCCTCACAATAAAAAATTTGTAAAGGGAGTTTCAATATAGCGAGTGCGACACTAAACTCCCTCCTTCGTCCCCCTCTCACTCTTTCTCCCCCTCCCCCCCCTCCTCACCTCTCATTCTTCCCCCCCCCCTTCCCTCCAATAAATTTTTATCGATTTCTACATTGCCTGCGTTACAGCCTCTTGTCAGCCCTCACTCTTCCCTCCCCTCCCATTAAAATTTTTTAAAGGCATTTTCAATATAGCGAGTGCGACACTAAACTCCCTCCTTCGTCCCCCTCTCACTCTTTCTCTCCCCCCTCACCTCTCATTCTCCCCCCCCCTTCCCCCAATAAATTTTTATTGATTTCTACATTGCCTGCATTACAGTCTCTTGACAGCTCTCACTCTTCCCTCCCCTCCCATTAAAATTTTTTAAAGGCATTTTCAATATAGCGAGTGCGACACTAAACTCCCTCCTTCGTCCCCCTCTCACTCTTTCTCCCCCCCCCTCCTCACCTCTCATTCTTCCCCCCCCCCTTCCCCCCAATAAATTTTTATTGATTTCTACATTGCCTGCATTACAGTCTCTTGACAGCTCTCACTCTTCCCTCCCCTCCCATTAAAATTTTTTAAAGGCATTTTCAATATAGCAAGTGCGACACTAAACTCCCTCCTTCGTTCCCCTCTCACTCTTTCTCTCCCCCCCCCCCCCCCCCTCACCTCACCTCTCATTCTCCCCCCCCCTCCCCCCAATAAATTTTTATTGATTTCTACATTGCCTGCATTACAGTCTCTTGACAGCTCTCACTCTTCCCTCCCCTCCCATTAAAATTTTTTAAAGGCATTTTCAATATAGCAAGTGCGACACTAAACTCACTCCTTCGTTCCCCTCTCACTCTTTCTCCCCCCCCCCTCCTCACCTCTCATTCTTCCCCCCCCCCCTCCCCCCAATAAATTTTTATTGATTTCTACATTGCCTGCATTACAGTCTCTTGACAGCCCTCACTCTTCCCTCCCCTCCCATTAAAATTTTTTAAATGCATTTTCAATATAGCGAGTGCGACACTAAACTCCCTCCTTCGTCCCCCTCTCACTCTTTCTCCCCCCCCCTCCTCACCTCTCATTCTTCCCCCCCCCCCCCTCCCCCCAATAAATTTTTATTGATTTCTACATTGCCTGCATTACAGTCTCTTGACAGCCCTCACTCTCACCTCCCCTCACAATAAAAAATTTGTAAAGGGAGTTTCAATATAGCGAGTGCGACACTAAACTCCCTCCTTCGTCCCCCTCTCACTCTTTCTCCCCCTCCCCCCCCCCCTCCTCACCTCTCATTCTTCCCCCCCCCCCCTTCCCTCCAATAAATTTTTATCGATTTCTACATTGCCTGCGTTACAGCCTCTTGTCAGCCCTCACTCTTCCCTCCCCTCCCATTAAAATTTTTTAAAGGCATTTTCAATATAGCGAGTGCGACACTAAACTCCCTCCTTCGTCCCCCTCTCACTCTTTCTCCCCCCCCCCTCCTCACCTCTCATTCTTCCCCCCCCCCCCCCTCCCCCCAATAAATTTTTATTGATTTCTACATTGCCTGCATTACAGTCTCTTGACAGCTCTCACTCTTCCCTCCCCTCCCATTAAAATTTTTTAAAGGCATTTTCAATATAGCGAGTGCGACACTAAACTCCCTCCTTCGTCCCCCTCTCACTCTTTCTCCCCCCCCCTCCTCACCTCTCATTCTTCCCCCCCCCCCCCCTTCCCCCCAATAAATTTTTATTGATTTCTACATTGCCTGCATTACAGTCTCTTGACAGCTCTCGCTCTTCCCTCCCCTCCCATTAAAATTTTTCCGCTCTATAATGTACATACTACATATTTTTAAATTCTTACCACAAGTGGAGCATTGCTCCCCTCCCCAATAAATTTTATTGTTTTTTTATGAAATGTAGTTTTTTGCCTTTTTGTTTGTCAGTTTTAGAAAAATTGTTGTAAAAATATTACTTGAAAAATCAGATCTTTAAGTCACATTCTAAACTTAAACTTATTAAATTTATTCTAGTTCAATGATTATTTCTATGAACTTTCCATTGCTACTAGACTTTATATTATTTGGATGTTTATTTGAGGTCATAACATCAATGTATACATCTAAACAACATCGTAATTTTATTAATTCGAAATTTTATTAAATCTAATTAGTTAGGATTCTGATATGATTTAAAAAACCTAAACTAAAATTTTACTTTTTCGGCTCAATGAAATATGCAGAAGAAAAATTGTATTTTATTCAATGAGTACAATATAGCTTAAATTAGGGGTTTCGCTTAGGGGTCGATCGGAATTAAACTGACAGAAATCGGACTATATATGTACTATTTGCGAATCCTTCGTAAATAATTAATTTTATAAATTTAAATGGACAGAATTTTCAATTGGAACAATAGTTCAGAAATAATCGCATGTCAGAAATACTATCGTAATTTTGGAAATCGGAAGTAAAGCCGGAATTCCGTAAGACCTCTGTTGTCGCTTAAGAAGCTTTTAACGTGGGGTGGTTTATCTAGTATTTATGTATCCTATAGAGAGATATATACAAAAACAGTGAAACAAAGTACTGAAATTTTGTGAAATTTTCTTTACTTGTTTATTAATTCGTGAAAATAAAACTTTAAATATTCTAGATGGAATTCATGAAATAGAGCAAATGCAACATTCGCGTAAAGATGGGCGTTTCAACAAAGATTTAAATTTGGAAATGATAGCGAAAAATCTGTTTAAAAATGACAAATTATTACGCGAACGTTTAAACAACTTGAAAAAATTTGGTAATGAAATTGCGTTTCAGCAGCTATTTAATATACAAGTAAAATACGCTAAACAATTTGATAGTATGATAAACGAAATGGTATGTATAATTAAAATGCAGTACTTGCCGGTTTAAGTCTATGGCTCACAAGGGTTGTAAATGTTTTTAGTAAATGATATCCTTATGATCTATTTAAATGGTCAGGTCATTTTTGCTAAAAGCATATTTGGTGGACTTTGGTGTATAATAATTTGGTGGATAATAATAATTCCACAGATAATTTGGTAGACCTTAACCAGAAAAGTTCGGAATTTAATTTTTGTTATGGATCTAAATCGTTAGTCAAATGAAAATTAGAGACATCCAAGTCTATAGAATGAGTGTAATCGTCGTTTCAAGTTTTGAAAATTTATTTGGCATTTATTTTACAAGAATTACCTCTAAAAATAAATCTTTACAAATTGATATCGTTTCTATGTATAAAAATTTTTTCCAAATTTTTTCATAAACAAATTTTTAAGAAAAAGCATGAAGGATTAAAGGAAGTTGCAGAATTTTTACAATTACTGCAATTTTGCGCTACAATTAATCATGTTTATAAAAATGATGAGAAAGAAAAAAAGAAGTATACAAAATTTTGCAAGGATAATGTAATGAAAAATGCTAACAAAATTTTAAAAGATTTTAAAATTAAAATTAAATCGGCAGTAAAAGCAAAATTTAAAAAGAACAAGAAGAAAGATGATTGGAATAAAAATGATAGAAAGAAAGAGAAGAAAAATGATGACGATTATTATTTTTATGTTGATACGCATCATGAAACTAGTGATGAAAGTGATAAAGGAGAATCTTCTCGTGGAGGATATTATGAGGGAGAATCTTATCACAACTCAAATTATGAAGGAGAATCTTATAATGAAGATTTTATTCCTTCAATTTTTAACGAGGCTTCTTCTTCAACTAATTCTTTGTCTTCTGACTTACAACAACTATTTTCTGCTTTTCATGCCAGTATTGAACAATCCACCGCTTTCGAAATAGCCCCATCTATTCAACAAATGGATTGTACAGGATGTTTTGGGGGCAATGGAAGCAACTCACCTAAATTGGCACAAGAAGTAAATTCTAAATGTTGTGAAGGTTCTTCATGTTTTGGCTGTTGTGCTAGTGATAGCAATAAGTCTATGGCTCAAAATGAAGAAAGTAAACGTGGTGATTGCCCTTCATGTATTGAGAGCTGTGACAACATCGACTGCGGCAAAATTATTGGCGATATGTGTAGTGGTGCTGGAAATGCATTATATTACTTGTGTTGTTGTTGTGTATTCGAAGCTGTACTTGATGCTGGTTGTAGTGGTTGCGATGATTGATTATGTGAAGATTGGAAAAAGAGGAAATTGAAAAGAAAACATGTATATATAAGTGATTGATCAAATCCATGGTAATTATGTAGTATCTTCCTGCATGTCCGCAAATGTTTGTCTGCAACTTTTTTTCTTTTCCCTTCTCCTACCTTCTCTCACAGTGATTAAAAACGGTCAAAGCCTTAATAATTTTTTAAATTTTGTTTCCGGAGAAGGAATCATTAAACAGATCAACGTGTTTGGATATGTTTTGACAGGGTCATGACATATAAGTAAACCTAGAAAGGTCGGTTTCGTACCAAATAACCCATTTTTGTTGGTAGAATATTCTTTGTAAAAAATTGATGGCCCTTCTCCGGTTTTTGGAAGATTAAAAATATTCATTGATCTACAAACAAATTTAATTCGAAAATGATGCTTTCCTTATTTGCCTTCCCTATAAAAATCAAATTATTTATTGACAATTATTAATCCTTTGACCCTTTTTAATCTCTGAGAGAATGTAGAAGAAGAAAAAGAAAAAAGTAGCGGACAAACATTTGCGGACATGCGGGGGAGATATGTACTACATACTAAGTACCAAATTCATTGATCATAAGTACCGAATCCATTTATTCAACGGGCTGTACTTTAGTACATGGGTGCCGAGGTTAATATACAAATGTTATACCATTTGAAAGAGCTAGTCGAGCTGAGTTGAATGCCACCAAAATTAGCCAGAGGAAAAAACTTTGAAGCAAGTTACAGATTTTTAAAAATCGAAAAACTATAGGAGGGAGTAAGCTCAATCTTGGGGTAAAAAATTCGATTATACAAATGATATCTAATTCGAAAGAGCTCGTCGAGCTGACATGGGTAAATGAAATCTGACTTGATTTGACAAAGTTATGACCGTTTGTTTTATGCGAAGCACGGCCATCGTGTTTTCAATCAAGCTGATTTTGGTGTCATTTGACTCAGATCGAATAGCTCTTTCAAATGGTATAACATGTGTATATTAAACTCGGCACCCACGTATAAAGTGTCCCCATTCAACGAAAAAATTGTAGCATTATTTAAACGTAAAGATAAATTTTTCTTAGTATTTTCACCAGAATTTTTAAAAAAATTTCGGTGCGCCCGCCTTACCGTATACATTCATAGGTATATTAAAACAAACTATTTTAATTTGTTGTCATAAATTAAGATTTTTAATTGGGAAACGCTCTTCCACAAATTCGTCTTTAATAATTACATAAAAATTTATTATATAATTTAACAAAATTTTAAAAAAATACAAAATGAAAAAATATAAACAAAAAATATTTAAAAAATTATTAATTAAAAATTAATTAAAGGAAATGAATGAAAAATTTATAAATATAAACTCTAATAAATTTGGAGTAAATTAATTATAAAAATAAAGAATATTTAAGAAAACAGTTTCAAATTTAGTAAACATTTTTATAAATAAATTGTTATTTTCACAGTCGGTCCTCACTATACGCCTTTATGAGAGAAAAATTTTATTGGTATCGTAAAATGGTAAGAATCGTTTTGGTGTCATTTTCTGCCAATTTTTTTATAATGTTAGTAGCTGTGTTTTAGGATTTGAAAAATCCTAAATTTTTAGTGCAAACTTCAAATTACACTCGTTACCAGAGAAAAACTAGAGGGAGGTTAAAAACAAGTGAGGTTCGACTGTAATTGAAATTTTGAAGAATATTTTTCTCAGAATCCGGAATACCTCAAAAAATAACCTACTACAAAACAATGAGAACCAGAGACCAGAATCCTCTCGATTTTTAATAAATTGATTTCATCTCGAGTCTATTAAATAGGAATAATCTTACAATTTAATTAAATATTATGTAATAAACGAATCAAATAATTTGTATATAATAAAAAGCCATGAAGAAGTGGTTGGAAACCCGCAAGTGAGAGGATATATTGAGGGAATAGTAAATAGATTAAATAAATATTGGTGATTTTTAAAGTCTAGATTAATGCCCAAAAGGGAAGGTAAAAATTAAAAACTATGGGAACTCTTAAGGAATTGTCGCTTATATCGAATGTCAACAATACTAATGAACTTGGGCACTTTAAAGTGGTTTCCATTTGTTAGGTCATTAATCTAGACATGGGTAGAATTTCTAGACAAAGACCTCTCTAAACAATTTTGATTAGAATCAATTCCAATAATTAAAGGAGCATCTTCGTGTTTTGGAGGACTTCCAACTTCTCTGAGTGTTTCTAAAGGAGAGGAAAAATAAGAATAATGTTGTGGTTGTTGTTGTGAAGGGGGAGATTTTAATTGTATTCGGGGAAGACCACCTCCATTAATGCTATATCCATTATTACCTCCATTTTGAATTAATCCATTAGGTTGTTGATAATCAAAGGAGCTTACTAAAAATAATATTTTTAGATTGCCATAAATGGAGGAATTCCTCGTTGGGAAACTGAGAAATATAAAAAGTGAGAAACCAAGTCTCTAAATAATTATATTTAAAATTAAAAATAAGGTTTTATTAGGTTAGGTAGTTCAATGCGAAATCTAACCCACGAAAGGAAGGAGATAGGGAAGGAAAATTTTAAAAATCATATTTCCCAGCTTTCGGGTTCAGGACAAGGCATTGAGGATTTTAATTAAAAATTTTCCTAACATTGCATAGAAGGGCAATAAACACCACTACCACCACCAACAAGATTGTTATTATTATTAAATGTAGAAGCACTACTTCTTCTACCATTATTATTTATTTGTTGTTGTTGATCAAATATTGTAGAATTATTATCTTCACAAAAATATCCATTATTTCCATTTCCATAAATCTGTTGTTGTTGTTGTTGTTCATATTCAAATAACATTTGTTGTTGATCTAACATTTCTGGGGGGAAATGAATATTTCCATTTGGAGGGGGATATTGTTCTGCTGTTAATCCACCAGCTTCGTTATTGTAAAAATATTGTTGAGGAAGGGGATAGGGAGGGGTTCCGCAACTCTCACTTGCTGTCATGCCATCAACCGGCTCGCATTTAACTGGAAAAATTTTGCCAAAATTTTAAAATTTCTCTAATTTCTTACCGGAAATAGAACCTCCATTAGGATAGCTGCTATTATTTGACATTTTTGAATGCCCAATTCGTCTATCACAACAACAACAACCTCTCCAAATGAGCCAAACAAGTAAAAGAAGAAATAAAACGGCAAAAATACAGAAAATTACAGATCCAAAAACTATGCGCAGTTGAAAAGGCATTTCTCTCCATTGAATTTCTTTAAATTAAAAAAATTAAGCTAAAACATTCAAGTTTGCATTAACTTAAGGAATGTTTTAAACAGCAGGACAGAAAAATTAAAAAGGAAATAAAAAGTCCGTAGTATACCATCCCTCCTCCGATTACCAGGAAAACAGGGTTTCAACGTTTCCAATTTTCCCTGGTTTAAAAATGTAAATGATTTTTTGTATAAAACTCCAAAATAACAAAAAAACGTAGCTGAATAATTACCGTGTTCACTAAATTTAAACCCCAGCAGTTTTTTAAACCCCAGCAAATTTAAAGCCCCGTAGTTCTGCCAAAATAATTTTTTTCTATGCAACATCATAAAATTTATTTTCGAAACTTACCAATTTTATCAAAAATTCCAAGTAATCTAACATCTTTCTGTTCCCAAACAACCCCATAATCATTACGTGCTGAACAATTCCACAACCCCAAATCATTTTCGACAAAATCAAAAATTGTCATTTTCGATAGCATTAAATGTTTGCCCAATTTATCATCGTTAACTTGGAAACGATTTTTGTTTTTGTTGTTATTTCCATTTCCTTCACCCGTTCTAATACGTTCTGCAACATCCATTCTACGACCATTATGGAACCATTGGATATTGACTGGCAATACTCTCGATTGGACCTAGATGGATTTATTTGTTATTTTTATCAATGTACTTGGTATATTTTGAATTTAAGAGATAATCTATAGAAAAGACAGGATAATACGCTAAAATTTTCGTGTTGCGCAAAAACACGAAATTAGAAGGATTGAGAAACCAAGTGATTCTTCAAATGAATTTAAATAAAATTAAGTATAATTAGGAAGAGACGGCGGGGCTACTATGCTACCCCCTATGACGGGGCATAGACAGGGGATTTTCAAAAAAATCATGCACATTTCCTCTTATTTTTTCCATAAAAACAAAAAAAAGTTTGCAATTATCTAATTATCCAAATCTAACAAATAAATGTTTTAATTAAATTCAATGTTTACCTCACAAATTAAAGTAATATCCTTTTCATTTTCAGAAAGTATATATTCTATAAATCTGACTTTTGGAGGTCCTTTTAAATATAATTGATGATACAATGTTTTTGAAGGAAAGCCTTCAACCTCGGCAATACACTTAAAATTTAAAATATTTTTTTTAATTATATGTATACTCCAAAAAGCTACCCTATATTCTCCTTCCTCCCAATCCTGCGCATTTTTGATAGTTAGACTAAAAATTTTAATTATCAAAATATTTTAATTTTTCAAACTTTGCTCCTTCGTGAATTGGTGTCTCTTGTTCCCTTCCATGATACCAACGAATAATAGGCGTTGGATTGCCGAGAACCTAGAAAAACATATCCCGTATAACCTGTATTAATTGCCCTCCCTCAAATAATTGCCCAACTTCCATTAATGACCCCATCCAGTAACAGATTGAAATAATTACCCCGCCCCATCAATAATTACCCCGCCCCACCCGGGGTAGTTAATAAAAGTTTTACGGTACTAAAAACTACCTTAAACTATCTACAAGTTTTAAAAATATCTTCAAGTGAATCACTCTAATATACAATCCCAGGAAAGATAGGTATATAAATGATAATCAAATCAAAAAAAGTTTCGACTGTTAATTACCTCGCATTGAAAAGTTGTTTCAGAACCTCTATCAATTATTTTAGTTTGATTTGTAGACATAAAACGAGGTCCAACTTTAAATTTAAAAATTCTTAAGAATCAACAAATAAATTAACATACAGGGAACATTCAATTCAAAAGCAGAACTTCCAACTCCAACAGAATTTTCTACTGTACAATTAACTTTTTTAAGATTATCATTAAATCGAAGAGAGGAAATTGAGATACGCTAAAAATATTTTTAGTAATTTAATTTTCTTTTATTTTTTAACAGACATGATTTGATAATATTTCCAATCTTTTGGGTTCTCCATCCCAATTCCATGAATATTTTAAATCTTCGTTTGGCCTGGAATCGCTTCGGCAAAGTAAACGAATTGAGCCAGACTCTCTGATCTAAAAAAGGAAATTATTCAAAATAATTTTAGTGATACATTGGATTGTAGAAAACTCAAAAAATATTTTTTTAATCGTAGCCGTTAGAAAAAAATTACTTTAGTCAAAAATTTTGCCAGCTCCGAAAGTAAAAGAAAATTTAGACTATTCCTAAAGGTAATAGTCGAAAATTATAATAAATTGGTCCTGATTTTAGTTTACAAAGTAAAATAATCAGAAATTAAATTTCTCCGACCTTTCCATTATCTTCCGGCTCAACTTCAATTATTACTTTGGGGGGATAAAATACATCCAAAGAAATACTGGCTGTTTTTGCCTCTTTTCCATAAGCTTCATGTGTTGCCATACAAACCAAAAAATGTCCATTATCATCCCGAGAAGGCGAATAACTTTAAAATTATTTTTTAATTAATTTTAAATATTTAATTTAATAATACTTTAAATTGCTTATAACAGTATAAAGTTGACTGTCTCCATCCAAGTCTCTAAATTCTGTAATGTTAGCAAGTAGACGTCTTCCACGGGAATGACGTAAGGGATGCCCAGCAGAGGGGAAAGGCACTGGAAATTATTTAAAAAAATTTAAAAGGCATTCTATTTCAAATTAAGGGATCAGTGAAAGGTAAGGTTTCTCTGCAAAATGATGGTAAATATCAGGGTAATGTTTACTTTAGCTTTAAAATTTTTTGGTCAAACAAAGGAACTGCAAACAATGAAACTAACCCATACTAGTATATTGGGAGGTGGGTATTGGGAGTTTTATGGATCAGGCTCCGACCTTATTAAACCTTGACTTCGACTCCGGCCGAAGCTAGCTCCTGGAGCAAATACTTTACCAAGCACTGTTCCCATATTACATTAAAATTTAATAAAATATTTGCAAGATTAATAAATTTCGAACTATTAATTTAATTAATTTCTGTGTAATCCTAAAAATTTCCAAAAATTCCAAAAAATATTTTCTCACCTCTATTTGTTTGATATCTAAAAACTGTTGTTGTTTCTGTTTCATTATTTGATGGTATAATATGCGCAATAATTCTTTTTCCTAACCAATCTTCAGCCAAAACCCAGCTAATTTGTGCTGCTGGCCTTCCAGCTCTACTTTGACAACTAACTTGGAGTGAATGACCTTCTGTGGCCGCTATTTGATTAAATTGTCCAATTAATTGTTGATTTTTACTTGATGAAGTCAGTCCACCTTCGATGGATTCTCCAACGAGTATAGGGTCTTTGGGTTGGACTGAGGGAGAGAATTTTTATTCATTTTTATTTTAAAATCTAATATTTACCAATAATTGTTAATTTAACTCTTTTAGAAAGCTTAGGAGTTGGTTCATCGTCTGTTGGAGTAAGTTGACACTGGAAATGTTTAAAAAATTTTTTCAAGTTTTCAACCATAATATTTTGATAAATTATAATTCGAGTTTTTTCGAGTTTTAGGAAGGGAATAGGAGAGTTCAGTATGAGGATTCTTTAAGGATTTTCGATAGCTATGTACTCAAGATTAACCTCCAAATTCTCATATCAGAAACCTTTTTCCTAATAAATTAATCTAATTTTTCAGTTTTTTAGAAATTATATATAAAATTTCAAAATTTACTCTATAATTGTCATCATCAGCAAGAGACACATTTTTTATCTGAAGGTGATATTCCCCATCGTCAATATTTCCAATCATTGACATACGTTCTGTTAATTTTTATTTTTTAATAAAATTTTTAAAAAAATTACCGAAAAAAGGCATATCACGTTTATGGCCTAGACCTACTTCTCCTTTCATCCAGTAAACATGTCCTTTCTAAATTTTAAATTAAAATAACATTTAGTCTTATATTTAAATCCATCGAGAGAGGGGAATATATGATCTGACATCCCATAAAAAGAAGGATTGTTTTATCAAGATTTTCCCATCTCGATACCAGAAATGTCATTGTTTAGGAAAAAGTCGGGGAGAGTTTCGGGTCAGTTTCTTAAAAATTTTCTTTGATCGGAGGTTCAGTGTCAAAAAAATTCCGTGTTTCGGGTAACTCGTAACATTTCTGCTCGGTTCTAATTTAGAATTTTTTTTAAATTAATTTTTATAAAATACAGTACATGTCAGATACACAAACAAAACTAGTAATCAAATATTTAATCTCTCTCTAATATATTTTGACATATGAGGGAGAGAACCGTTCAAAATATTTTTTGATTGATTTTGATGAATTAGAAAATTTGCACATTTTTGCGGTAATTATGTAATATTTTTTTATTTTTGTCTAAAAAATGCCGTTGACAGAAAAGGCATTCACAAATTTATAGAGATTATATTTTAGATGATTTATGTGCCTTTCAATAAAAATAAATGCTTTTGAAAAACAAAAAATAAAAGAAAAAACTAATTAATCAAAAAAATTTTTTGACTTTAATATGCCGAAAAAATAAAAGTATAACTAATTATTTATGAAAAAATTAAAAAGGATTTGAAGAAAATAGCAAAAATCTACAAAAATTTCGAGTAACTCTCGAAATTTGTTTAGACGGTTTTTCAATTTAAACGTTTTTAACCCCGTTTTAAATTTAGATTGACCAGGTTTAGAACAGATCCAAGTAAAATGGAAAAGTTTTGGTTGAATAAATAAGGGGTAAGTTTATCTCTAGTTGAATGCCCGACCATACTTTCTTCCAATCATCCTATCATTTCCATTCTACTAGAGAGTTTACGATAAATTAAAGACAAATTTCCAGTTAAAGACTTTGGGCTTTTAAAATTATTTAAATATAGATTTTAAAATTTTTTATAGAAACAATCTTACTAAAGTTATGAGAGTCGATATCAGCGCGATAAGAATTGAGGGCGGAAAGGAGTAATTTTTAAGAGACAAATTCCTCGATTAAACAGAAATTTAAAAGATTCCTAACCTGATTTTGAACTCTACATTTAAGTAAAACAGTCTCTCCAATTCTGGCTACAGTATCCTCGGGTTCTTCGACAATCCTCTGCTCGGCTTTAACAGAATGTAGGGCGAAATAAATAATTAAATAAAATCGGAAAATTGATGGAAAGTATTTTGGAATATTTTTTAAATAATTATTATTGTAGATCATTGTTGAAATTTTAAAAATCTAAAAATTATTTTTAATTAAAAAATAATTTCAAACAAAATTTATAAAAAACAAAAATGTGTTTGGACAGAAGGGTGAATAAAATTATGTGGAAATATATAGGTAATTGATAACTATCTAAAAATAAATAAGGGTAAAGAAATATGTTTAAACTTTGGCCGTTGATCAGGGAATAATAAAAGAAATTTGGTGTGTTAATCAGTTTGTAAACTAGACTTTGGATTTTTTTAAAGATTTGGATGGAATATAAGATACCGATAAATTGCTATGATTTTTAGTAAATTAAATATAATTTTTCAAAATTCAGAATACATGAGGTTTTTCATTTTATATACGAGGGAGGGAGGGAGGGAGGGGGTGTCTTAAGAAAAAAAAGGGTTGGCATACATATTACAAAAATCTGATAAATAGTCTTTAATTAAAATTAATCCAAATATTATACAAAAAATAAACTCAATGATTAATCTAAATAAAGAAATTATTTGCTGTTTGATATTTTATTTTTTATTTATTAATTCGTTCTTTTCCTAAAAAACTAAACTTTTTATTTCCCCCGCCTTTTTGCTAGGGTTGTACCCCGAACGTTCGGGGGCGGGTATGTCGGGGTACGGGGTTTTCCAATTGTTTCGGGGCGGGGTTCGGGTCGGGGGAGCAAAATATGACCGGGGTTCGGGTCGGGGTACGGGGTTTTAGTGAAAAAATTTTTAGAGAAAAAAATGCTCAAAAATAATCAGATCTCGGTATATTTTCGCTAATTTATTCAAAAATTAAGTAGGATTTGGAGAAATTAGAGGGGATTTGAAGGGATTAAAGTGTATAACTTGGGATATAAGTGGATATGGAGGGATTAAGCGGGATTTTTAGGGATTAAATGGTATATCTAGGGGTGCAAGGTGATCTGGAGTGATTTTTGTTGTTTCAAGGGATATCAGTGATTAATAAGAATATTGAAGTATTGCGGATAAGGGTATTTGGACGGATATCAGGAGATATCTTGGATTAATCCTTAAATCTCCCACGAAATCCTTGTTAATTCCGTTAAATTCACGTAATTCTTTCAAATCCATTTTAATCTAAACCTTATATCCCTTTAAATCCCTTTATAACTCCTTAATTCTTCGATATACTACAAATTCCTTTATATCTCTGATTCCCGTTAACAGGACCTCGATAGTTTTCCAACTGTTATGGTTGGGAACCCCTTACTGGTGATACAAGGGGTTTGAAGGATTAAGGGTCGTTCAAGGGATATCAGTTAAAAATAAAATTAATATTTTAAAATTAAAATTTAACTCGTTAATAATTTGTTTTTGTAAAGAAATATAAAAACAAAAGAGTTCTCCTTCTATGGATCCGAACCCAATCCTATATTAATGGAAATATAGGCTAAAACCAACAACTAAGCCACTCAACCACAAGTCTCTTAATTAAGAATAAAAGAAAATTTTGATATTTCATTCATTTTTCTTTCAAAAATAATAAAGGCAAAGTAAATTGTGAGGAAATTTTTAAAATTTTTCTCTTAAAATTCTCACAAAAATGGCATTTTTTGGGTGTATAAAACCCCGATAACCCCGAAACTTTTATGGTCGGGGTACGGGGTTTTCGAAATGTTTCGGGGCGGGGTTCGGGTCGGGGAGAATCGTGAAAAAATCGTTCGGGAACGGGGTCGGGGTTCGGGGTACGGGGTCGGGGTACAACTCTACTTTTTGCTAATTTTTCCATTCTTTTGTCGCTTTTTGCCGCCAAACTGTGTTCGTCCTTTTCTCCAACAGCTGTGACATTGCCGTGGAAAGTTTAATAAAAAGTTTAGCGCTTAGAAATGATTAAAATCTAGAAAGGAAACATATGACTGTACAAAAATAAATTAATAAAGAAGGGGGAGAATTAATACTTGATTATTGAAATTAATAGAAAATTTTATAATTAAGATTTTAGAAAGGAAAAAAGTGTAATTATTAGGAAGATGGAAAAGTACATATTAAATCGAGACATTAAATTTTGAAATTAAAAAATAAATCTAAAATTTAAAAATTTGGAAATATTTTTATTCAAGACGTCTGGATAGTGAAAAAATGTTATCAGACTTAAAATAAACAAAAAATCTCAGTTAATAATTCTGTTAATGAGCCCTTTTCTTGTCGGCTCTGAAGTCATTAAAATCAGATTATGGCTGAAAGCAAATTTTAATATTTTGAATTTAGCAGAACCCTCTTATTTGACACGCAGTTAAGCAAATTTGGATTACTAAATAATGTACAATTTGAAGTTTTATTTAATAAAAACCACAAATATTTAATTTTTTGTTTTTTATCCTTTTTGCATTAATTTAAAAAAATTTTTGGTTTTTTGAAACAAATTTTTTTTATTAAATTACTCGTTTGATGAAGAAAAATTTTGTTTATAATTTTGGTGTCAAGTGGAATTTATTAAAAATAAATTCCAGATATTTCAAGTAAAATTAAAAGAGAAAGAAAGTAAAATCAAAAATTTCTTCCCTTTTCTAAAATAAAATTGGTCGGTCATTCCTCCTCCCTCTCTCATATAAGAGATGCCCTCAAAATAGTGCGCAATTTGCAAAATTTTTAAAGGAAAGAAATTGAAAAGCGGATAGAACGCTCTAATTGAATTTTATTTTTAAAGGGAAAAGAGGAAAATGAAATTGGCTTTATAAATTATTAGAGTTAAAAATATTATTAAATAATTATTTGAGTATTAAAAGAGAATTTATTTTTAGCAAAACTGTCAACAATTTATTTAAGTTCATCAATTTTAATTATTTTATTTTTCTAATTTTTTGCATTAAATATATTAAACTTAGGAAGATTATATGGTTTTTTAAATTGGAAAATTTTTATGAAAAATTTAATAAAAAAATGAAAATTGAAATCTTCTGGGAAAACAGATAAAGTTAGCAGTTAATTTAGATTTTCAACGGGAAATTTCTAATTTTTAAATAAACTAAAAAGATAAATCAAAGTAAAGGAAAAGACAATTTTTAATCACATTTAAGTAGTTATAGAACAGAGATTTAAAACAATTCTTTGGAGAAGTTAAACGTGTTTATGTATAAAAGGGTAAAAACTGGAAATCTGTGGGTTACGGAGAGCGTTAATTATTGTAATTATTTTTTGTCATTTAAATTCGAAAATTGATAAACAAAAATCTAAAATCAAGCCAAGATCGAAAATCGAAATTAAGACATTTTTTCCAAAAAAATTTCCATTAAATTTAAAAATATTTTTTGAAAACATTTTTATTTAAAAAATTTAAAACTTTGTAGCAAAAGCATTTAAGTAAATAAATATTTTTAAAAATAACCAAACAATGACCGTTGTACTTTGTTAGAAAAAATGGAAATTGACACTTGTTAAGCAACAAAGAAAAGCAAAAAATAAGAGAAGGGGGGTATTTTGTTGTTGCTTACCCCCCCCCCCCCTCTTTCCCTTAACAACGTTTCCGTCCTCCCGAAAGGATTTTCTGTTTTGTTTTTCCCCTAAATGTTTGTCTACTCAGTTGGAGGGATGCCGCTAATGGAAGGAAGAAAAGGGGAAAATGAGGAAAAAATATAGGGAAGGAAGGGACCCTAAAAATGGCCAATTCTTTTATTGTGGAGGTGCGAGGAAAAATAATATGTTTTTAAATGTTTGGAAAAGGGAAAGGATAGTATGAGACAATAAAAAAATATTAAAAATACAAAACAAACAAATAATCCTATTTAATTAAATGGAGATGCGCAAAACAATGGGATAAAGCCTAAAAAGTTGATATTGAGAATGGGGATTTGTACACTTAAAGTTGATTCATAGGACTTAAAAGAAAGGTAGAAAATTTTTTAAAATGTGCTCGTCTCGTTTATAACGTGAATACCGACAATGTGTTAAAAAATTCTTTGAATTAATATCCTAAGTCTAATTTTACCTTTGTTTTCCTTTAGTGATCGGCTAATGAAGATAAAAACTCGATACTAAAAACTCGAAATCTCTAAAAATTCTTCGATTAATACCTCCTCCCTCCCCACAAAAGTGCCTCACATTCATAGTTTTTTGATGAGGGATGTCGTTTCTTGGACAATTTTCCGGATATCCGGACCAGACCGAGGACCAGATCTATGGTTTGGTATAGATCAGTTCTGAACCTACAAACATGTTTTTAATCGAACCTCTAAAAACCTCTAAAAAAATCTAATGCAATTTTCAAACAATTAACTATTTACTTGACTAAAAGAATACAAATAAAAGAAAGTCTCGATCAAATAAAGATAAAGCCTTTTAGCAATTATTTATTTATAAGCGACTTTAAACGTTCTTCTAATAGGTTTTGTTTGCACGTGTGGCCATTGACACTAAAGAGGGGGAAAGGAAATAATAAAAGTCAAGAATATAACCCTTATATTTTAAGAATAAAAAAATGAAAGGGCCTTACTCTTTTCAAATATTTTTACCCTTCCTCCCTCCCCCCTCACTCCCTCCTTCCCTCAAAAGTGCCTTCACATTCATAGTTTTTTGTTTGGGAATGTTTATTTGTACAGGCGCGAGAATGAGCAAGTTGAGGGAAAGAATTGGTTTAGTAAGAAGAGATGGACATTAGCGATATATAAAAAAATATTTTTTTATTATTGAGTTTTTGGTGCAAAGTGGATAAATAAAAAATAATTTTAGGAATTAATTGTAAAGGATTTCGAGAGAGAGAAAATAAGAGTTTATTAAATAAAAGAGATAAAGCTGTTTTATTATTTTTGCTTTCAAAATTTGGGTAGTCGGAAACATTATTTACAAAATTTAAATTTCAATAGACTTCGGATTTATTAGGATTTAGATATAACTTTAACATTCCCTGAATTTAATTGATTAGGAACATCGTTATCGAAATCCCAAACAATAAGCAGCACCAAGATTTATATCAATCCCATTCGCGATCGAGATGAACAAATAGGCACAGAGATTTAAGAATAATAGTGATATCGACCTCGATCTGATAAGCTTATAATTAGAAATTATTTTCAAGTCATTAAAAATTACACTATATTTAAAAAAATTACACTATATACATATATTTTCTTTGCTTCAGAAATTAAATCTGAAATGTAATACTTGCAGGGCCCAATTTTTTGATTTTTTGATCTTCAGGTTTGCTTTAACAATTTTTTATAATCAATGTCACAAGAAAGTAAAAATTATTAGAAACAAAAATAATCGAAAAATATTCAATCAAATAATTCACCTAAAAGTAAAAGGGAT